CCCCAAAACCCCAAAACCCCAAAACCCCGAGATGGCCAAGAGAAATTGATATATTATATTTGGGCTTCATAAACCAACATATATGCATTTTCTGGGTCTACCTCCCCATACCTGCATGAGAAAGCATCCTCGTCATTGAAATAATACCAGTTGAGGCCTCTTCTGCAGTAAGCATAATAGTGGCCATAATTTAGACCTCCAGAATGACAGATTACAGCCTTTAGACTGTATTTGATATCTTCTCCTTTATGTTCTTTCAAAGAGAATTCATTAGGATACAAGACAATATCATTGCTTTTTTTCTGGGAACCTTGGTCAAATCTTTGGATAGACAACATAAGATATTTTGGAGCCTTGACTACCCTCTTGATTATTGCTCAAGTGTCTTGATTGTCTCAAAATGTTCATTTGAATTCAGAAAATCAAGTCTCTGTTGAGTCTTGAAAGAACTCATCGATCGTTGGTCCATTTCTGCCATATTCTATTGGAATAGGAATACTCTTGAACTCTTCATAAACCTCTTTCTCTATAGTACATAAGTCTCATTTGAAGACTGTCTCATACATTCCAACAAAGAGTTCATCAATGATGGAAGTATGAGACTCTTGGTATTCCTTCCATGCATCAACAGGATTGGTATGATTTGAGGATGGGTAGGAGGCATCAGCAGGACTAAGCTCATTCTGTAAGCTCTCAAACAAGTGAAGCATATATCTACTTGCATCATGCTGCTCATTTAGCCCGAACTCTTTTTCAGATAGTTGTCTCAATTTCTCTATCTCTATTGTTGGAGTCTTAGATCCGAAATAATTTTTGCAAAGCTTCTCAATTTGAGAAGTAAATGGTTTATTCCTAACCATCTCCTTAAATTTCAGAGTAAGCAACTTTCCAAGAGACGGAAATAGTCCTGATTTATACCCTTCTAAGCAATCTGTAAACTCAGGGATGGAGAAGAGCGTCTGAAGTATGACTATCATGAATCAATTATTGTACTTGTTCTGGATCCCTTTGCAAACTGTCCTTGACTTCTGAGGCCCAAGGACATAATCTTCCAGATTAATAACTTGGACTTCATCAATTTCGACAGAATTAGAGCTTTCATCTGAAAAGTGCTTTTCTTCTTCATCAGAATGATTAGAGTGGTTTGACCACTGCTCTTCGTTAAATCCGACTGAAAAGTTAGGGCTTCTAACTGAATTAGCTTGGTGCTGGAAATGATCGCTTTCTTTCTGTTCTTCTTGCTCTTTTTGGAAACTAGACTTTGAAGAGTCAGAAGAAAGGTTCTTTCTGGCTTGGCTGTGGCTTGGAGGCCAGACTGAGAGGCTGGGATTTGGAGGCAGCTCCTTGGAGTCTTCGAAACTTTCGTCTAACTTGATTTCTTCAGGGATTGCCTCTTGTTCAGGTTTTGGTGGAGCATGGTCTTCTTCGGATGAGTCAGAAATGTTTCTTTGGTGGGTTTTGGGGCTGGAGTCATTATTTTGGTCATCTTTAACCTCAGTTTCAGAGTCTTGAGGACATTTCTCATTGGGGTTTCTCTGTACTTGGAGCATGTGGTTTGACGGAGATGCTTTGTTAAGTTCAGGGTTCAGGCTTTCATTTGGGATTCTTGTAAGATAGGTTAGAACCTCAAATATATGATCTCTAGGAGCATCAAGAGCATCTTCTAAATTCTGGGAAAGATCATCTTCTTTGTAATTATTGATAATTTCACTGAAAGACTCACTGTGGGTCCTTTGGATTAGATTTTCTAGTCCTTTTTCGCACTCAGGGTTCTTGTTGATGACACCGAGCATACCTTGAATAATTTTTAAAGCCATCATCAATTTCAGATGATCTTGTTGTCCTTTCTTAGAAGCGTAGTTGATGAATCTATGATGTATGTCTCTACCGAATGGCAAAGAGTTAGCATAAGTCTGGCAAGCTTTGAAATGGTTCTGAAGGGCAGGAGTTTCATGCTTCTGAATATAATCACAAAGTTGACCAAGAACTTCTAAATTTTCTTGCATCTTCTACAATTTAGATATTATTTATTATTTCTACCTGCTCTAAACTTCTCGGGGTTTTGGGGTTTTGGGGTTTTGGGG